AGGTGGTCGAACCACGCAGGTCCCTTTCCACAGTCCTCCCTCCCAGATACGACACACTTACACTTAACGTATAGTCTTCCGACATTCCATATGAGATTCAGCTCTGGAAGCGGGGTTAGATTCTGCGCTGGTTTGGGACCTTTGATTGAGACAACAGGCTCCGCAGATGAGCATTTCGTGCCGTCCATGACACTCATGCGTGGAAGACACACCCCATCACCATGGAAGGGGAACTTCACATCTGGTAGAGCAGTGATCATATTCATTGCGCGATCGAAGCACTCCCTAACCTCGTCTTGACATACGGCTGCAAGTAGCGTGTACCCTCTCACATCGATTGGCGCAAGGAAGTTCTAAGTCTCCAAGGTTCAGATCTTACCCTTCAGAGCTCTGCTCATCGCCTTCACCCACCTGTTAGATGCAAGCGGGTAGAACGCATTTCTAGACCCCGCTCCATATGCTGAGACCTTCCGTTTCTCCTTCCCTGCGGATAACTTGGCTTTCGACCACTCCGCCTTTTTCTTCTTCAGGTAAAGTCTCTCCTCCTCCGTAATCTCATCCGCCTCGTCTCTCTTCGCTTCGCAAATATTCACAGGCGCCTGCTCAGTCTTGCGGGCTTTATGGAAAGCCGACTCCGCTCCCCACATTAGTAAGAATACCGCCTCTCCTCTTATCATAAGCTGATCCGCGTTATTCCCCTCGACGTCGTCCTCCACCTTCCACTGGCAAGTCCTCTTCGTCAAATCGTTGATCAGGTCAACGAATTTGGATCTCGCATACTTGTAGGTGTAAATCAGCTCGGCCCTGTCATTGAACTTCATGTAGAATACCAGCGGGAGCACTTCTAGTGGCGGAAACTCCGATCTTCTACGTACCAAGGCCATGACTTGCTTTTGCGCAATTGCCATGAGAGCTTGGGTTTGCCTTGATGGTGCCGGGAACTGGGTCAGCCATGAGTTCTCCCCTTGGATTGGCTTCGGAAGCCACATGAAGGCATAGTCCGATTGATCTTGTGTTCATCCATTCACAAGCCCACAAAATTGAGGTAGGAAATGCGACAGATAAGTATTCTCTCATTGCACATGAGACAATAATGTTTGATATTTTCAAAAGATTATTTGCAATTACCCCTATTCGGGAAGAGAGACAGAATCGGCCAAGGTTTTCAGTCTTGGGAAGTACGCTACGAGTGCCAAAGCTCCCCGTAGTTGTGTGTGTACGTACGTTAAGCGCGAACGCTACTCTTCAGTGCTGTAAAGCACTCCGAAACGTGATCGACCCAGGGTATAGCAAACAAATCCTTGAATCAAATAGACTTATGCGATACAATAAAAAATGTCATGTTTTCACATACTATATGGACTCCAAACTTCATGAATGTTTTCGAAAAGGTCAAATAAGAGCAATTTTCGTAAAGAAAACCCACGTGAAAAACAACCGAATTTAAAAACTGCCTATCCAGGAATTTGTTTACATCAGTGCATGTTCCTAATCGTTCCTGAAAATTTCGCATTCTGCCTTTGTTTTCGAATGTTCATGGGACCAGAAACAGAGCACTAACCGCAATACCTGCATCTCATGTCGATATCTCCACCGCCTTGATACTCCATAGTGTACATATCCCAAATGTAAACTGCGTCGTTTCGTGAAAGTTGGCCAGTTATTGATTAACTGCCTGTCACCATTATTACATTTTCGGCAATCCTTCAATGCTTTCTACTCACGAGCGTCTACGTGTAACTACTACCAACTTCCCCCTAATCAACTTCTCAGTCTATTTTAATCGTGAACCTCCCCGCTCCGCTCATATTTCTTTTCTCTTCGCCAAAAACGCTTTGTCCAGGTCGTCCTTCCGACGCAATTACCGAAGAAGTGCCTTGCACCCACAAAATGACATAGCATTTGCAGCAAAAAGAGATTAACAACATATACCATGGCATATAATTACTAAACTATATATCCTCATACGGAAAAAACATACAAGGAGTCAAGTGTTTGACATAAGCTGTCATCCCGTCATTACACCTTCAAAGCGGGTGGACAGGAAGTAATATATGGATGCTTGGCTGGGGATCATGGCCACGTCCCTAAAAAGCATTTTTCGTTGACCAGCCATAAGTCAACTCATCAGAGGGCATCAAC